AGGGGAGGCAGGGGGGGAGGGGGGGTTCGGCCTAGAGAAAGTTGACTACTCGGGTAAGTGGGGAAGGGGGTGTGGCTAAATACTGGTACAGTGCATCTCCAGGTATGTGACAGCACTGTGCTCTGTTGTTGCTGTTGTTATTGTTTGTTTTTTGTTGTTGTCGCTATTGTTGTTGTTGTTGCTGTTGTTGTCCAGGAGGACCAAAAACATTCTGACCTGACTGGGATTTGAACCTGTAATATCATTGTCAAGATCAAGTTCACTTCCGGTTGAGCAATAGCGAGTTGATTATGTCTGTGTAGAAACCACAAGCACTTGTCTACAGGACAGATAGTTTATTCATAATAATAGATAACATTTGTATCGCGCAAATCCCTGCTCAACAGCAAGCTCTATGCGCTTCCTAATTTATACTATTACCCCAGCAGACCGGAGAGCATTCTGAAACAACCTCAACTTCCTGGGAAGCATACAGTGCAAGCAGCCATTTATAGGCGTTAAAACACCAACAAACTGACAAGATCTTTTGCTGTCTATGGCTGGGTACCCATTCCCACCTGGGTGAAGTGAGGAAAATTCGTGTAAAGTGTCTTTCTCAAGCACACGACGTCGGGCCCGCGGCTCGAACCCCCGAACCCGCAACCTCTCGATGACGAGTCGGCTAGCCTAACCACTAGTTCTGGTTGAGCAATAGCGAGTTGATTATGTCTGTGTTGGAACCACAAGCACTTGTCTACAGGACAGATGTTTTAGCATTCCTCACCCTCTCCTCGCCAGGGCAAGTACGAGCTCAGGATCGACATGCAGTTCCAAGGCAATGACTACCACGCCAGCTACGATCACTTCTCTCTGGCTGGAGAAAACCTCAACTACAGAATCATGTTCTCCGGATTCTCAGGCAATGTCAAGGACGAGATGGTTGTCCACAACGGGCAAGCCTTCTCCACCAAAGACCGGGACAACGATTTAGCTCATGGTCCCGACTCCTGGGGTAGAGGGGACTGCGCCAAAGGCTACCACGGAGCGTGGTGGTTCAACGCTTGCCATAACGCCCACCTGAACGGACGGTGGGGGAGCGCCAGAGCCTGGACAGGCCTCAACTGGCGCAGTCTGACGGGAGACGACTCCGTGTCCTTCAGCGAGATCAAGATCCGGCCCTACAGTCGGGACTGACGGATTCCTGGCTTGGACAAGTCCGTCTGCTCATTCTGGGTTCACGTGGTCGTGTGTCTGTGTGTTTGTACATGTTTGTGTGTCTGTGTGTTTGTGTGTTTGTGTGTCTGTGTGTTTGTGTGTTTGTGTGTCTGTGTGTTTGTGTGTTTGTGTGTTTGTGTGTCTGTGTGTTTGTTTATGGTTTTGGTGTTCGTCAAAAAATCGAAGTAACCATGGCAGCATCTCTTGGCAGTTTTGAGGCTTTTACTTCATTCTATTTTTTCGGCTCAATTCCTATTTTCATCCTCTAAAATACATTTCTGGGTGGATTTTACTTGAAAACGTTGATTAAAGATACAGAAAAATGTAAATGTTCAGTTTCCATGGACTCTCGGGCAAAGGAAGTCATCAAACAGTGGCAGCAATTTTCTCGCCAATTTTATCTCTGAACCAGGCGACCCCCACCTCCTTCAATCGGAAACATCTCGACTTTCATCCAAAATAAATGGATGTTAGTCACCATACGCTAGACAAATGCCCAAGCTTTGCGATGACATCAATAACGTGACATGGCCACACAGTGACGAGCGCATGAATCCGCCGGGTGGCTGCAGACAAGACTAGAGACCATGTCTCGGTACCTGTCTAACAGCCATGCTCCACCATCACGCACAAACAATCATACACAAACCATCAAGCACAAACCATCATACACAAACAATCATACACAAACCATCATACACAAACCATTATACACAAACCATCATACACAAACCATCACGCACAAACCATCATACACAAACCATCACGCACAAACCATCATACACAAACCATCATACACAAACCATCAAGCACAAACCATCACGCACAAACCATCATACACAAACATCATACATAATCCATCATATACAAACCATCATACACAAACCATCATACACAAACCATCACGCACAAACCATCACACACAAACCATCACGCACAAACCATCATGGACAAACCATCATACACAAACCATCATACACAAACCATCATGCACAAACCATCATGCACAAACCACCATACACAAACCATCATACACAAACCATCATCACAAACCGTCATACACAAACCATCATACACAAACCATCATACACAAACCATCACACACAAACCATCACGCGCAAACCATCATACACAAACCATCATACACAAACCATCATACACAAACCATCATACACAAACCATCATACACAAAC